GGCCTGCAAACACCCGCAAAAAACCCATATTTGAGTGTTCGTGCTGCTGGCAGCATTTTGCAGCCCATGGGCTTTGTTGCTGCATCAGCTCTTCAGTCCTAAAGTGAGACTTTTCTAGAAGAATATTGGGATTTCTTAAATGACTGGCTGTATTGTCCCTTACTCACTGAAATCCATTAGAATTTTTCAAAGCGAGAGATGAGCGATGGTAGATGCTCCTGGTTCCAATTTTGCCACCCATTTAAAAGGTGTATAATAATATAAATCACGCTCAGGTCCTGCTTCTGGTATTCAACAGCTTGAAACACTCGTTTGCATTCACTTTTTTCCCCTCTCTGTTGAGGCTGTTCGATTTTCTACAAAATATCTGCGTACATTGAGGTCCAGAGGCTCTTCTAGTAACAGCTCGGATGCTGCCAGCCCGTTATTGTGGTTTCTTGGGTTTTAATCCCTCCCTTGCCCAACTGTTGGGCTTTGTAGGTGTTGTATGTGCAGAAATATCACGTGTATAAAAGATTCTGTGAAGAAATGTGTCTATCTCCGGCCAAAAATAGAGACAAAGATAGATTTTATACGGAAATTGAAGTTTGGGGGGTGTGGGCGTGTTTTGCTTATTTATTTATTTATTTTTTGAATCCAGACAATTAATCCCCCCTATGTAATTTAGGGGAAAAGAAAACCCCAAAGGAACAATCCCTTGATACGCAGAAGGGCCCTGCATTTGGAGCTGGGGCTGTTGGTCCCCACATCAGCTCTGCATCAGCTGGGATGTTGGCGTGCCCCAAGTTTGCAGGTTAAAAATGCAGATAATTCATAATAACTGCTTATATTTCCTGTACATCTTTCTGAGCGGGTCGCTTGTTGGTGCGTCGCTGTTTCTCAGCCATGTGGCACAGCGCAGATTATTTGTTGTTGTAGTTTAGCCCTTAATAACAACTATTGGCCATGTCCAAAGCTTTCTGTATGAATACTGCTTGGCTGCCAAATGCAAAATGGCTTTCTGTGAGTTTTGAGTGAATCTAAGGGTTTGTGCAGGTTTGGGAAGGAGCAGGGAGGCTGCAGGGTGGTTGCGGCTGCAGCTTTGGGCTTTGCAGCTCGGACAGGGCAGCCCCGGTCGAACGCGTGAGCGGCTGCGAACGCTGCCCGTGGCGCTGCCACCTCCTCTGCACAGATAAAGAGGAGCCCCTGCTCGAAAGACAAAGTTGGTTGTCCAAGAGCACTGATGGGAACTCAACTGGGATTTGTTTTCTTTCCCTTAGGCGTGAGAACAAGTCGCTTTTTGGGTGGGCAGGTTTGCATCTGGCCAAGAAGCATCGTCACATGTTGGAACGAAATCTGCACTTTATTCAATGGCACTTTTATAATTTGACTTCAGATCTTATTGACAGCAAAATATTTTCTGTGCTAGAAACCCAGTCGAATCATAATAGTCCTTTGAAAAGCGAGTATAAAGGACAGTTGGATTTTGTTACTGTTTTTCATTTTTCCTTGGATGTTATGCTGAGAGCAGAATGTGACTCAAGCTGTGATAATATCTTGATCCTGAAAGTGCTTTCATCGAAAGTAACCTTAAAACGCATTAAAAAGTAATCATTAAGCAGCACTGCTACTGCTGTTTGCCAGCAGCTGCAGAAGTATAAATAAGGGAATGTTCCTTGTCCTCTTCCTTGACTAATGGGTGTAAGAATCTGCTGCTGGAGGGCAGCAGGCAGAACAGACCTTGACAGGCCGCAGCGAGTCAGTCCTCAGCTGTTTGTGTCGGGTTCCTCCCACGAGGAGTGAGCTCCCACAAACTCAGGAGCTGCAGGAGGAAGGTGGACGTGGCAATTAGGACACTGGTGGACGGGCTGCGTGGGCAGGAGAGGGCAAGCGGAGGAGCCGGCCGTGTTCCTGGCTGCACTGGGCAGGCGCCGAGCCGAGTCCCCGGGGGTTTCTGCTGCTCCGGGTGCTGCTCCGCGCGCCGGCAACGCCGAGCGCGGCCCCAGCCCTCCTGTTCCCTTCTCCTCCTGGAAAGCTGTTGAAACATCTGCCCTACGAAGAGAGGCTGAGGGAGCTGGGCCTGTTCAGCCTGGAGAAGAGAAGGCTGAGAGGGGATCTAATCAGTGTATATAAATACCTCAAGGGAGGGAGTGCAGAGGATGGTGATGGTCTCTTTTCAGTGGTGGCCACTGATAGGACTAGAGGAAATGGCCGGAAACTGAAGCACCAAAAGTTCCACAGGAACTTAAGGAAAAATTTCTTAACGGTGAGGGTGACAGAGCGCTGGAACAGGCTGCCCAGAGAGGTTGTGGAGTCTCCTTCTCTGGAGATCTTCAAAACCCGCTTGGACGCAGTCCTGTGCCACGTGCTCTAGGTGACCCTGCGTGTGCAGGGGGGTTGGACTAGATGAGCTCTAGAGGTCCCTGCCAACCCTAAGCATTCTATGATTCTATGAATGCGGTGGGGTCCCTTCCCTTGGGTTTTGGTGCTTTGGGCTCTCGCAGGGTCACCAAGCGAGCGCTTACAAAGGCATTATAATCCATAAGAGAAGCTTTTATTTTTCTTCTCAGGAATCAGCTTTTCCATTTATGTAATTTTCTGCAGTTTTTGGAGCCAAGTCGTGGCCTCGTTTTGGGAGGTGTAGGCTTTGCCCCCTGTTCTCGCTTATTCTCAGGTTTGGGCTGATAATCTGGTACCTTATGCCTGGATAATTCCCTGTTGCCCTGTACACGTCTTGAGATTTCCAGAAATGTCCTGCTGGGAGAAAGTAAATTCATCCAGGACCCATCTGGATGCTGCCTAATTTCTATGGAAAGAGAAGCACAAGTATCCAGTGAGTTTTTCCAGCCTCCTGTGGTTGATTTAGGTCACGTAAGTTTGTGGTGGTTCTGCTGTGCTCACCCCAGATCTCATTCCCCACAGCCCAGAAAACCAAGCATTAGAAGAGATAATGATGGTATCACTACATGTAACACTTGGCTTAAAATAACCAGACCACAGAAGTGGTTAGAATTCAGTAATGATAATTTCCCAGTTCTAAAAATAGGTCTGTCAGGGACTGTGAGGGAGACGTGAATCAGCAGGGGACACTTCCGAGCTCCATCCTGCCAATCCCTCTTGGAGCAGCTCTTTGCTGGAGGCATCTGCTGCTCCTTGCCACCCTTCAGCTCGAGTTAACAGCTCTTGGGAGCCACCAACAACTGCAGAACTGTTGCCTCTGCCTTGTGGAGCTCCTACGGGAAAAATGTATGGGGTTTTCTTAATTTATATATATACACCTAAAGAGATGTATATACATATATATATTTTTTAAGGTGCCTTGGCCACCAGGTGTTCCCCCTCCTCTGTGCAGGTTGTAGCTTGCACCGCCAGCAGCTGCTGTTAGAGCATTGCAACTGCCCATTTTGCACGAAACAGGTGCCACGTGCTTTAAAGGATTGCCAGCCTAAAAGGAAGCAGCTTCTTTAAAATCATCTGTGGTTTCAGCTGCAACTGCTGCTGCTAAGGTTTAGTTGCTTGTTCTTACCTAGAGTCCTGGCTGAACTCAGAAGAAACTGTAAAAATATCTTTAAGCTGTTTTTTATCTCTCTGGCTGATTCCACAGGTGAACAAGAGCAGGTTTGTGCCTTCACTTGGTGTTTTCCTGGACTAAAAAAAAAAAAAAGGAAAAGAATTGCCAAGATTCTGCACTGCAAAGTGGGAGGAGGAGGCAGTCAGGGCCACCTCTGCCTTGCTGCAACTGCTGCTGTAACCAAGCAGGACTGAGGAATTGATTCGAAATCCCTTTAAAATTGTTTTAAATCCTCACAACAGTGTAAAAAGCCCCTTAATCATACCTTTAAAAAAAAAATCTGTTTTGCTCACCCCAACACTGCCCTCGGACTGCAGCCACCTTAAACAAGTTTCTAAAAGATGTCTCTTGTCCAGCAGGGAATTTATTTATAACCTGGCAAAATAGTAAGACTTAAAAAACAAACATCCCAGCCAGCCACACAGACCGGACTATTCTGTGTTTATCTGTGTGGAGCAAACACGAGCGAGGAGGAATTCCTTTGAGTGCCTTTCCGTGAGCTCCTCGGGACAGCTGCTTCCTCCGCCGTGGCCCTTTTCCTGCCTCGCAGCGCTCAGAGCAGGAGCCCCTGGCACTGTCTGGAATACGGCAAAATCCTGGGAAGCGGCGGCAGGCGCCTGCTGCTCTGTTTTAGGCGCTCCTTCGTGGGGCTGTTGTGGTGCCCCGGTATAGTGGAGCTTGGCTAAAGAGACCCACAAAACAACGCGATCCGGCAGCTCCGTCCCTCATGCTCTGGTGGGTGTCCTGTCCCCCCGAGTGCATCGCCAGACCAACAACCCACTCCCTTTCTTTGGCCGAAAGACAAAGGTTTCAAACCAAGATTATGTGTCAGCCCCCATTCCTTGGTTTTCCTTGCAGTTTTTTCACTGTTTTGGAAGCAGAATCATCTCCTGACTGTACCAGACCATGAGCAGCGCAGGGGAAACAGCTCCTGCTTGGGTGTCTTCCCAGACAGGCAGAGAAGGGAAAGACTTTCCAAGACTGGCAATGTATTAATGTTTTCCTGATGCTGTGAATTTCCCAGCAGTGGAGATGTTCCCGGTATCCATCCCCTTTGGAAGTGGGGAGCTCCTCTTGAGCTGTGTAGCTAGAGTCCTAGTGGGAAATCAGGGTGGTGGAGGAGGGCCAGGGCATTTTCTTCATGTTGAGGAAATATCCTTGTGCCCGAGATACTCTGGCTTTGTTCCATGTTTCGTGTGTGAGAGTCTCATCCCTGGATAGGTAGGGACCTGCTCTGCAAAGGGACATGGGGACAAGGGGAGCTGCTGCTCTGAGGAAGCTCTGGGTATGTTTACACTTAGGAGCCAATTCACTATTGAAAATGGTTTAGAAAAACTGTTCTGAAGAGATCAAAATACTAATTACTGTCAAGTGATTGAGCTCTCTGTGTACAAAACGGAGTGTAATTTAATAGCTGATTGGGTAAAAAAATGGTTCCCTCAGTTCCAGGATGGTTTGTGAAGGAAAGGGCGAGTTCTTCGGAGCTTCCAAAGGTGCCGGGAGCTTCGGGAGGTGCTGGAGCCTCCCCGGCCGCTCCGTCCCGCCGCGGCTCTTCCTGCAGGCCAGGGAACAGATCTCCCGCGGGAGCTTCGCGCGTGCCCGGGAGCCTCCTCCTGTGCGGCCGCCTCGGGAGCCCCTGGGCTTGTTACTAGCACTGACAAGTCAGCTACTGCCCAGCACCAGCCGGCAGCTGCAGAGCTGGCCCTGGCTCCCTGCCTCCGTCTGCCGCGCGCTGCGTTAACCGCTCCGGGAGCCGAGTCCCGCTGCGCCGCGGTAGACGCGGAGGTGTCTGCCGCTCTGTGGGCATTTCCTCTAAAATAAGCAAGGTGCGGGTTGTGGTGGAAGAGCTGCGTTTCGTGGGTCGCGGCGCCCACGGGCTCCCTTATTTGGAGCCTCGGAGCTGCCAGGATTTCTGTGTTTTTGCGTCTCCATATATGGAGCGGCTGCCGCCGGAGCCGCGCTCGGAAGCCGGGCAGCATCCGCACCGCGCGGGGCCGCAGAGGTGGAGCCCAGGCCTCCAACTGGTTTTAGAGCAAAGGGAATAATGCAAAGAAAACAAATTTCTCATTAAATCTTGCTTGCTTTTTTTCTCATTGCTCACCAGGATGCGTATAGTTATGATTTCCTTCATGGTGGTAAATATTTGCAGAGAAAGAAGGGAGCATAAGCAGAGCAGCTCAGAGCTGCCACCTCCCCTGTGCCACAGCAGAGGCCCCGCTCGGTCCCGCACGTGCAAGGGATCGGTGCGTTGGCAGGAGCTGCCTGGCAAATTCCTGGAAGCGGGGCCGGAAAAGGCCATTGGCTTCTGAGCTGCACGCTGCCCCTCGGCCCCCGGCTTCCGCCTCCAGCTTCCATTCCCAACCTGTATCCCGCTGTTTCGGCCTTGCACCCGGGGACTGCACGATGAGCAGCAGGAAAGCACTTTGATGACTAACTCTGTTCTCCTCTCTGACAGATTAAAAAGCAGCAACAAGATGTGTTAGGTTTCTTGGAAGCCAACAAAATCGAATTTGAGGAAAAAGATATCGCGGCCAACGAGGAGAACCGGAAATGGATGCGGGAGAACGTGCCTGAAGACAGTCGGCCGGCGAGCGGCAACCCCCTGCCGCCCCGGCTGTTCAACGACAGCCGCTACCTCGGGGTAAGGGACCCGCTCGCGCTTTTCCTGTCCCCGTCCTCGCACAGCCGCAGTGGATGGTGCTCTGAAAGTTTGGAGTTTTCTCATTCTTAACTGTAACTGTGAACTAGCATGTCACAGAAATCGGCACGGTTGCTCCAACCCTCCATTCTGTAGCAAATTCAGAGAATTCAGAGCGCTGCACTGGATGCCTGTTGTTTTTTTTTCTATAAGTGTAGATTCTAGATCATTCTCCAAGCTGTTATTCAGCCTCCAAAAGAGCTGTTTGTGCGAGGTGATTTCTGCCATGTCAATATATCAGGTTTCTAAAACTGAGGTGAAACCACTTACCTTTGGATCAGCTTTATGTGTGCTCTTTCTGAGACGAGGGCAGTTGCAGTCCACTTATTCTGATGCCTTGAATAGATTAAAAATCAGGTTGCAAATTCAGTTCCTACTTATAATTATTGTAATGCTTGATCAAAAGTATGTTGCCCTGCAGCATTTCTGCTCAGCAGGCTATGCTCGAATGATTATTAGATTAACTGTTAATTTTATTTTTAAAACTTAATATCTTCTGAAAGGAGTCCACAGTATGCATTGCTCCCTGCTGTTTGTTTCTAAGTCGTGTTGCAGTCTGGTGCTGACCTGCAAAGTCCCTAATTCGGAATGTATCAGTCTGTACCTTGGACAGGCAGTTCTGTGGCTACTGAAAGAAATGATACTCAGTTCCCAGGAATTTTTTCTTGCCTGTAACAAAGGCAGAACTTGAAACAAAATCCTCAGTGAGCTAAAATACCATGCAGCTTTCAAAATGTTAGTGACTGTGGTTATGGGAAAGATTTGGTTTGGCGCGACAGATCGGTTATCATCTACAACTGAAAGTTGAGAAAGAGCTAGTCATGAAGAACTGAAAATATCTTATTTGCAGAAATGGGTTTTTTTCTTCCTTAAAAAGAAAAGCTCTGTGGCAGTAGTAAACCCAGTTGCATGCAGTGTCACCTTTCTCTCCTTGGAACAGCAGAGCCTTCAGGTGCCCAAGCAAATCCCTGTGCAGTTTGGAGTCCTTTATCAGGGAAACGTAGCCGGTTCCTGCTGCATTGCTGCAGCCTCCCAGCAGCACCGGGCAGCGCTCGGCACTGCTGCGGGGCAGGGAGACAACAAGGCGCATGTCTGAGCTTATAGATACAGTGATTTTGGGGAGAAGTGTAGGCCAGTTCCTGCTCTGTCTGTGCTTACTTCATGGCAAAAGGTTTTCTTAAAGGAATATCAGGTCACTTGGAATTTCTCAGGACCAGCTATTGCTATCTCCCAGGGGAAAGGGTGTTAAAAACCACTGGGTGTTACGTTAGGCTGAAGATCACACAGCAAAGGACCTCCAGGAGATGATTCTAATCAGAGTTGTACCAAACCCACAGGGCAGGTTACCATCTATTTTGGGGGTATTTCTGGCTGGAGTTGGACTATCTTTCCAGCTGCTGTATTTTGCAGTGCACTAGGGTGAAGCTGGGGTGTTATATCATACAGAATGTCATTGCTTTTTGCCCTACTCCTGTCTCTCCCATATGTGACGAGTGAGATGTTGGAGTCTGCCCATCAGACATGAGGCTCTAAGTCCTCTCTATTGGTCCTGAGGTTGCTCCCATAAAGAGCAGTCCTGGAAGATGCAAAGGGGTCTAACTGCTCTCGTTTAGAAATCCAGTCAGTTTATACATCCGCATCCAAGCTGCTGCAGTTCAGCTTCCAGAGGGGTAGGAGCCCATTTCCACCCCGTGCACATGAGGCCGTGTGTGGTTCAACCGCAGCGCTCGCTGCCTCACGGCGCTGCTGTGGCCGCCGGGCGTGCGAGCCGGCCTTCCCTTAATGGCGGCTCCCCGTGCGGCTTCAGCCCGCGCCGGGCCTGCTTGCTGCCACTCGGCCTGGGGAGCTACCCCAGCCAGGTCGGCCGGGAGAAACCCGGTAGAGCTGGAGGGAGCCCCTGCTGTTGCTCCAGCTAAAACAGCCAGGAGGAAAAGCACAAGCGGGATGGGGCTGCCTGTGAAACTTGGAGCTAGGGAAGTGTGTGGTAACGCGCTCAGCCGGGCTTGCGCAGGCCCGGGTTTGTTTGGTTTCACCAGCTCTTCCCTCACGTAGCAGATGACTACATTTTATACTCTGCACAGAATCACATTGGGTCTCAAATGTTAAAAAGGGCAGAGAAAGGAGAATGTATATTTTTATTGTTTCATTGCTTGTGAAGTTTTTTATGAGAGGTTTTTATGCTTGCAACGTGGCTGTGTGCATATTTAGAGCAACTGTGGGACATTTCTCGACACAGCACCAGAAGTTCAATGCCAAGACTTGCACTGGTTAATTAGCCCTGTGCACTGACTCTGCTGCTAAAGGGAACTGGATCTGTAGCTCCGCAGCACGTATGGACAGATGGATTTATAATAGAGTCCCACTGCCTTTAGTTCACTTGCCTCGTTAATCATTAACAGCAAAGGTGATGGAAAAGGGTTTACTTTCAGTTTACAGCTTTAAATTTAACTTTTAACAGGTTAGAAGCTGTTAATGTCCATAATCGCAGAGCTGCTACTGCTAATTTGGAGTTGGTCATGAGAGCTGTGGGCATCGATGCTGCTGGATGCTCTTGGGGAGGGCTCAGCGCGGCCCTGGGGGACACCTGGATGTCAGGCCAGGGCGGCTGCCCCTCGGGAAAGCCTGGAGCACCTCCTGGCAGCATCGGTGCAGATGCCAAAATCTCCAGCTTGTCACCTTCTCCAAACGCTGCAAGTTATATGGTAGCAGTGCTAATAAAAACCTGACTTTCTGAATTGTGCAGTACGTCACAGCAAGCAGTTTGCTCAGGGCGGGCTGGGTAACACACCTAGTTGACCTCCAGGTATTTCTGAAGATTCATACTTCTCTTTTGCTTTTTCCTCCCTGCTCCTAATCCGCAGGATTATGAAGCTTTCTTCGAAGCCCGAGAGAACAACGCAGTGTATGCATTTTTAGGCTTGACTGCACCGCCAGGTTCAAAGGTAGGTGTATGCATTTTTCACACTAAACTATAACCTCTATTTTATGTCATACTCTTCCCTGCTCACGTTTTGTGTTTCGTGGTCACTCCAGTTAATCTACCTGCTTGTTTGATGTTTAGACTCCAGAGGCTTTAGCATTCAGGCTTCGGCAGTTGTTATGTGCTCTTTTATTTCGAAGATACTGTATTCCCTGGAGGCTCTAATCCCTCTTCCTGCCTGTCCTTCTACCAGAAAAACTCCGTGTTCAAGACTGATGTTCTTCTAATACCCTCACTGTAGGGCCACTTTGGATTCTTTATGTTTTTAATCTCTCTTTCTTTATGTGGTCCACCCTGCAAACAAGTGAAAGAGTAGCTGATACATGCACTGAAGAATGTCCAAGAAATCTGGATGAAAAGAAACTGCCACAAAATAAAGATTTTTTTCAACATAATGAAAAAAAAAGCAGTAATTCAGATTAAGTTTTGATGAGACTTTTGCAATGGAAAATACCTCAAAACCAGAGTCCCTGGCCTTTCTTGAATGCATTTTTTTCCTTCACCCAGTTATCTGAAGCTTTGTTTTTCCTTTACCAACCTCAAAGCGGGTCACTGCTGTGCGCATGCGATGGGCTGGATTTTGATAAGATAAGACAAGGCTACTCTAGATGTTTCACTTGAGGGCAGTAGGATCTGCCAGGGCACTTCCAGCTTTCTTGTCCCAGTGGATAAACACACCGCTTCCCTTCAACTTTATGTATTTAAGAGTTGAAGGTCCCACTTGTACGTTATCATTCCAAGACCTGATTTTAAAGGTAGATGATGATTAGTTGCCTTTGACTGTAACAAACTCTAGGTCAGACTGAAACACACAGATTTGGGAGCCAAATGAGTTTCCAGGTTGGTGCCTGAAATGAATGACATAGTGAGGAAAAACTCCAGCTCGTGCAGAGAGACCCTCAGTACCAAAATGTATGATTTTTGCTCCAGAGTAACGCCCCAGTGGGCTTGCACAGAGCAACAGTTGCTTAAATCCTGCTTAAGCTTCATGTAGCACCTGCACAGCATTGCACAGAACAGTGCAGAGAGGAACCACGGAGGAAGACGACAACGTGACAGCCCTACAACCTGCCGCACCCTCGGCAGCGCAGAGCTGTTGGTGCTGCCATGAACCAGGTCGTCTGCCTCTGTCATGTGCACGAGCGTCGCTGCAAACCTCATCTTTGAGTTACTGCTTTGACAGGAACCATCTGCGTGGCCAGCAGTTGCTCTGATTCTGTCAGAAGGGTGGCTTTTGAGAAAAAGGTTAAACTTAAAAGGAGGAAACATTCAGGTGGTTGTATCCTGCTGGATTTTCGTATTACTTGCTCTGCTTGGGGATGCATTGAGCTGATGAGGATAACCTCTGGCTAAGTGACTTTGTGCCCGCTGTATTCTGCTGCTGGCTCAACCCCTGTTAACTGTGTTACAATTACATGATGTCAAATCAAGCTGATTGCCTATTGCCTGCACCCAGAAGCTCATTGCAGATGCTGACACTGGCATTTACAGCATAGCTGCACGCAGCTCATGCTGAGGTTAGTGACGCTGAGGCTGCACGTGGGCTATATGAAACAAAAAGGATCTAGATCAACCAGAGTGCAACTGCAAGAGAGGGCCCGGGCTGCAAAGCTCCTTCGAGCGCCAGTCTGAGAGATCTGGGAAGTTGTTGGAAGACAAAGTTCCCATATTAACGCCAAACAAAATTGAGAGGCAGGCCTCAGAAATGAGAAAAGGAAATAGCTATTTACTGAGCACTTTGTCTTGTGCTTTGGGCACTGAAGAGTTCAAATGCACCTACAGACCGCAGGGAAATGCTCAGAAAATAGTTTTCATTTAATCTATCCCAAACCTCCCAACTTGAAGCAGTGTGGGTTGTTCCAGGGAGAGGAGCGGGCGAGCTGGAGGCCGTGATCACTTATTTAAGAACTGACAGCAGGCTCAGTTCAGGGCTTCATGGGAGCAATAAGGGCAAGGCTGAAAGGCAGCAAGTTTAAGATCTCAGTATCGCTGCCCTTGTAGCTTGCAGGGTTATGCTCGAGGAGAGGGAATTCTGCTCTGAAGGCAGGTGGGTTGGTGGGTTCATTGCGGAGGGCACTTGGTCTTATTCCTGCTTTCTTGAGGAAGAGAGAAAGGCCAGCAATCCTCTCCAGCTTACTACAGCCTTGCTTAAAGATGTACCTGATATATACCTGATATAGCATTTTCTGCCAAAAAAGGCTGGATGCCACTTGGGTGGTGTGTGTGGCTGGCTAATGCATTAGGAAAGCAGAGACTGCCTCGTTGTCACCGTTCCAAGAGCCGCTTGTCTTCCGGAGAATGTACAGTGTTCCTTTTCTCCCAGGTTTTGTTGCCCGTCTTCATCTTTCTGCCTTTTTCACCTTCCCTTTTGTGTCTGTAACTGACAATCTGCCCTTGCAGGAGCCGCGTGGCGGCCCCGCGCCGTCCCGCTGCGCTCGCGTGCCTGAAGGGAGCCGGGCCGTGGAGCAGCCCCGCGTTCCCAGCGGGAGAGCCCGGACAGCCCCCGGCTCCCAGGACACCGGGATGCGCCTGGTCCTTCCCTGCCTGCAGGCCCTGGTCTGGGATTGTGCCCCCTCCTCTTGGTCTGAGGGGCCTTACGAGCTTCCCAGAAATTCCCTTCTTTCCCCTCCCTCCAGTCTTTTTTTGTAGTATTTATTTGTTCAACATATTTTTGGAATAGCCATGATGACTCGAGCAGTGCTATCAAGTTGCTATCTTCAGAATTTACATGCAGTAGTCACCAAAGCAAATAACTCGATTACATAGAAGTTGAGTTTAGCAGAGTTTTTTTTAATTCTTCAAAACAAACCAACCCTCCGTCCTGAAGCACCTCACGGAGGCAGTGAGAAGCTGCCCGTCTTCACCGGCCGCGCTAGTGTTAACGTGTAGTTACACTGACCTTCAGTCAGAGGAACATTCACAGAAACCATTTCCAAGGAAATTCTTTTCCGTTAGTAGCTCCTCCATAAGTGCAGTCACTTTATTCCCATTGGTGATCACCTTCTTTCTGAAAATACCTGGGCTGAAAAATGCAGTTTATTGTTTTTTAATGATCCTTCTGAAATGTATTAAGAAATATCAGAGGTTGCTGGGAGGGTGCCAACCTACAGCAGCTGTTTCTTAGTCTCAGGAGGACTGGGCTGTAACTCACTATTATCTGTTCTTTAACATCTGTGGTCAGACCTGGTATTGTGGTCAGGAAGACAGAGTGGGCAGCAGAGAAAATGCAAATGTGGGTCTGGTTTGGGCTAGGCTGGGCTGGGAGGTGAAGCCAGCACCGTGTAGGGTTTGCCCTGTAGCAGTGGGGACTCTCTGTTTGAGTTGGGTGCTGCTTATTTTGCTTATTCACCTACTCCTGTAATTACAGTTGTGTTCTATGGACACTAGTGCCTAGCCCGGGTGTGTTTAAGCTGTCACTTTGCATAAGGTACTAACGTGTGTCGTTCTGTTCTGCCATTTCAGGAAGCCGAAGCACTGGCAAAGCAGCAAGCATGAATTCCAACTGCCTTAAATGCTCTGTAAAGGGAATTTCCACAGCTTTTTATAAAATAGTAGAATTGTCTCTGCTTCAAGAAAAATAGATGTGATTTCTAACATTTGATTGGTGCTTGCAGCATTCACAGAACATTAATACAGATTTGAACACAAAGTCAAAATGTGAACATAAAGGTAGAAAGCACAGAGTGTGTTATTACAAAGTTGGAGGCATAGGAAATTGGAGCAATTAGACATGATTGATTTTTCAGATAAACTGTCTTGGCAATTTGTCCATTTTGTGTAAACTTAAAGAAACTATTTTAGTACTATAAATGCAGATATGGTTATACCTAGATATCCAACTATTTAAAAATATGAAAAAAGAGCAACAGCATTAAACCTTATCACTAACTTTAGTGCCTGAGTTGCCTCAAAAACATTACTGAAATACACAGTAATTTTTCAGTGTCTTTTTATTTTAAATTGTAGGTGTTGTGTATTGTAATAACCATTGTAGTCACTTTTGGAATTGGTGTTTGTCCTTTTGTAGAATAGGTATTTAAAATTGTAACACACTGTACAGATGGAAAAAAAAAAAAAGAAGAATGCCATGTACTTCTCCTCTAAGGGATCTCTGTGGGCTTTTCCTACAAAGAAAAGGGGATTTGGGCAATGGACAGCCTTTGACCACGTAGCTGCCTAGGCACAACTTTGGACATGTTTGTGAGCACCTCAAGGAAACACACGCCGCTTCCCAGGCAGTGTCGCAAATAAGCCAAAATGGCCAGAAATGGCATTTCCTTACCAGGGTAAGGGTGAAGCCTTTAATGAAATTCTTTACAAAAATACCAGTTCACATTGCATATAGCATTAGATATCTTGGTGCATGTCCTGGTAGTACTTTGTTGCATATAGTATTTTTTCAAATGAGAAAGTGAAGTTAAATGTTTGAATAGCAAGAACTATTGTAATAGGGAGGGCTTTTTTTTAAGGTTTAAAAACTGATTTCTAATTGCTGTTGCCATATCACAAAGCTATTACAGGAATTGCAAACATACTAAGTGTCTTGTATTGGTGAATTTACCATGTGCAATATCAGCCTGTCCATTCTCCCAGTACCCATCAGATAGCCTGTATTACTTGCCATATTCTACAAAAATAAAAGTAACTACAAGTGCCCTGAACAGTAAGAAATGTGTGTGGGTAATTTAAAATGCATTTTTTACCACATAAGCTACTTTTTCCCCAAAACAACAAAGGACAATGAAAAAGATGGTTAGTGCTCATTTAGTTAGAGGATCCTTCTGATACCTCTGCACGCACATTTCAGTTTGCTTTGCTTTACTAAGGTAGAGGAACGGGCTGTATAGATCAGGGGAAGGCTGCAGTTACTTACTTTTGGTTGGTAAAGTTCTTCTAGAGAAGATCATGATAAAACTTCCACAGATGTCAGAGCCAGCAGGACCTAGTTTGAAGCCAAGGTAGTTAACACTTCTTTTTGGTCAAGTTTAGGGGGTTTTATTATTATTATTTGGAGGCCTAGGAGTAGATGTTTGAAGCTTGTGCTTACAAGAGCAAGCACAGTATCAAAATACATAGGCGTAGATTAACGTTGCTTCATCTTGAAGATTAACACATACATTTGTGCTTTCTTATTAACAGGCTTTGTCAGTAATTGCTGAAGTTTTGTGGGATTTGTTTTTAGGATGGAAGGTGGGTTACATTTTTGTATGCAGTGTCTGATTTTGATCATTCACTGTGACTGTGTTACTCTAAACTGAGGTGACCTTTGCTTTCTTAATGTTGGCATGATCTTTCTTTTGGTCCAAACCCACTGGTGATGTTTTTGAGAAAGTAAGGAAGAATAGTGGGTGAGGCTTTGGGAAGAAAGGGAAATTCAACACACAGTCACGATACTCACACTTATTCATTGTGCTTCCTGTGTAAGGAAAGTCATTAAGTGCTGTGCATTACAGTCATGATGTTGGAAAAGCTGTAATTGAAAGTGAAGGCCAAATTATGTCAGGGTACTGACCCAAAATATTCTGAGAAAAGGTCAACCTCTATTTCTGACAGCCAAGAAAATCACCAAGTTTAAGAAAGCAAAGTCCCTTGTCTAGTCCCCTCCTCCTTGCCATATGGTAGCGTTCAGACCGTATCTGCATTCCTGAGAAAGCTGTCGAGATGGACTGAATAATTTCTTTGTCCAGGGAACAAGGCACCAACAGAGACCAAAAAATACCTAAAATCTTTCTGCTGTGGGCTCTGTGTAAAAGTCCTATTTGTTTTGATGAAGACTTTCTGCATGAAAAGTGGTGGGGACGTGTTCCCTATGTGCTACTCCTGTTCTTAGGTTAATGATGGGTGCAGCAACTGTTCACTTCTTTCATGAACTCTTTATTTTTTCCTATGTAGAAGGCAGGCAATAAGTATTTAAAGTGTACATTAACCGTTCCTGAATCATTCCAATAAAATTGTTTCAGAATGCTTTCTCACACTCTTGACTCTTTGGCATGGTATCTTCATGATTTGAAGTGGCTCCCTGGGTTGAAAAAAGTGCAGTTTTCAAGTGAAAATAATGATCACAAAAACAAACAGATCTGGATCTATATAATAAAGTGAACATAATGGGTAAGTTTTCCATCCACTACTGCATGTAAAATGTATTGTCTCTCTCACCTGTTGTAGCTAAGATGTTTTAATTATTTAGGGAACATCTACATAAAATAAAGCTGTTTTTTAGGAGAGAATTGAAAACCCTCCCCACTGACCTGCTTCCCTACTCCTTCCTCAGGGCAGCCATCAGGTCAAGCCCCCCTCTTCACCCCGGTGTGTAAATCTTTCCCAACAGCCTTTTTTTTTTTTCCTAGTGTGTAATTAATTAGCTTTATGCTGCTCACAAGAGGGGGCTGTGGTATTTAATATATTTATTGCCAGAGAGGGCAGTGTTGGATGCATATTTAAACTAAAGCTGTTTGTTTTTATCTTCCCTGTTTGCCTGGTAGAGCCAGCAGGTACATTTTTTAAGATTCCACATGTTTTACACACTGAAGTGTTACCCCACGGAGAAACCCTATAGAAGATGCACTTTGCAGCCCCCAAATGGTACTAGGATTTACTCAAAACCCAGACTTGTATTCAGATGCTTTTAATGAAACCCATCACTTAATTTTAGAGTGGTTTGTTAGAAAGGAGCTCACTTGCTCTCTCTTTACAGGATCAACTTTTTGTTGTTGTTTTCTGTTTCTAAACAACTAAAGCACAACCAAGAACTATCAAGTATCATGTCTTTAAGTAGTGTTTATTGCTTATCTTTTTGCTCTTGCCTCTCCACCATTGCTTAGAGTCTTAAAAAATGGTCCATAATGTATTTTAGGGAAAACAGCTTCTGATGTCATTTCTAATTACATGGAATCCCAGGGCTTACTCTCACTGTACACTTCACTTCACTTGTGTAAGCCGAATAGCTCTCTTGCTTTCTTGTCTGTTTATAAGTCTTAAAAACAAGTAAGTGTTATTCTTTAATGTGAAGCTCAGTACAAATCAGTTTCAAAAATCTGTTTTAAAACAAAACGCATGTCTGCATATGTTTACTGAACTTGTTCCAGGTATTCATGGTGTGCACTGTAATAATAAATTTTTCTACCATTGAATTTGGAATTTTCTCATTTATGCTTAATCCATATTTTGTGGAAAATTCTGTAAAGTCTAGTGATATCATTTAGCTTGTGTTGCACATATTACTTGCAATACAGATTCGGGGTGTGCAGAGTGGGGACAGATGCCTGCTAGTCCCTTACTGAAGAGTCTTCATCACAGAGTTGATTCAGGCTCACGTGGCAAAACCAAAGCCCTCAGCTCCTGGGTGGAGTTAACTAACAGCTTTTTTCAACAGAAGTAGGTGAGATTTTACATGATGAAGTATGATGAGTAAACGAGTGGTTCCTCAGCAGCTCTTGAGCTAAGAGTTCACGTGCACAACAATGTGAGTCTTGATTCTTACCAAAAAAAAAAAAAAAGGCAGGGATACCAGCCAAAGCTGTGCACACAAGCCCACAAAAAGGCCAGGAACAATCAAAGATGCATTTTCAAAGGAACAGTTTACATCCCTTTACATAACAGATTCAGACTTATCAGTAACCTGCATTAAGAACTTAATCAGGCCACAGCCCTCCTGTGCTTCCCCTTTATGGTGAGAGAATTTTAATAGCCAACTTAAAATGAAACTGAGGCAAGTCATCACCTGGGAGCAAGTCATTGAGGTTTTCTGCCTTGAACTCCCTTTTGCTCTTTTGACACAGCTGATTAAAGGTGCAAAGCAAATGAAGGCATCTGCCTATCACTAATATCCGTGTAAATATCCATGTATTCCATGTGTCTCCCACCTCCCTTAAATTCTTTGTTCTTTGGAGTCAACACAGTCTTTCTGGATAACCAGTGTTACACTCTCTGCTACACCAAAACTGAGTTGACTGTGTCAAGCAGCGTTTTTAGACACCTGTCAGTATTTTAGAAAAGTTAATTTCCGAGAAGTACATTCACATAAGGCAGATAAAAAACCTAGAGGTCCTCTTAGCACTAGATTTCATTTAAGCCATGTTGGAAGGTTCTTTTGTTACACAAAGCAAGTATTATGAACATAAATCAGCTGGTGAAACTGCCAGGTGCTCTCATGAAAGCAGAATGGAGATTATCATGAGATCTCTATTCTGGAAAGGGGTTAATTACACTTAGCATAAAAAAAAAAAAGGACAAGGTGTGAGGCCCATCTGAATAGATCAGGAACTAAGTAATTACCAGGTAATTATCTTTTAATGAGTGCCCCACAAAAGCCTAAGTATTTTATGATTCATCCATACTATGTAATTGTGTATTTTAGGTTGAGAAGTTTAGCATGAACAATTTTGATTTGTGTTGTAAAACTCTCTAGAAAATGCAAAAGGATGGTAAAAGCTGCCTGAAGGCGATGAAGGAGAGATCACTGTTCTACTATGGAAAATTGAAGCATTGCATCACCATAAATTCCTGGGTGTTTATTCTCAAAATATGCACATGTAGTACGTCCCAATCATGAACAACCAAATGCCAAAGAGAGTCCTTCAGATTGCAATTTCCTCTCGTACCGGCTCGTCTGCCGAGGTCATCCTCAGGAACTTGGGCACTTCTTTGTTTTCAGTTGCTTGGTACAGCATCTCAAAATCCTTAAAAACAAGGAGAAAACATGGTAATGTCACCAAGCAAGACAATTCCCGTGGGCATCCCGTCTTGCCTCACATCCTTCCCCAGCGCCTAGGACAAGCTGTTTGTTACCCAGGCAAAAACCTGGATTCGCCACCATGACCACAGCACTAAACCTGCACGAAACGGGCAGCAGCCAGCGAGGAGGCCGCGGTGCC